AAAAAGTTAGGTGAAGATTCCTGGGTGATAGATCTCAGCTAACTAGACTAGACTCATCATGACAATCCAGAAGATGTCCCGATTGCTCACTAATTGACTGTAGAATGAACCCTTCCCATCGGGACGTAACGCCAGTATATGGTCTACTGTGATCCCCCGTGCACATTCGTGATATTGCATCTATCATATCCGGTGGTAAATCTCCTACTTGATGGGTAACCCTTGTGAGTTATAGATTTCAAATTCTACATTGTTGTTGCATTTCCTCATCTGCACAGCATCGTAGAATACCTATGGATACTCTGAAAATGTATTTGTTGGTAATGCTGCTCCAGAAGTACGCTGGGATCCAAGTCGTTTAAGAGCACTAGAGATTGAATCTGATCATTTTGTTCCCAGGAGACCAGATATCCCCAGTGTTCTTCTAACACAATTTTTTGATCGGTGTATTATATCATACTCTGGAAATATGACTTTTTGTCTCCTCATATTGTGGAATACAGAAATCACCAGTATGCTGGACTTCAAGCGTTTTGGACGGTAGAAGTAAATGTGCAAAGTGTACGGGAACATCCTCTGAACTGTATATGATTGACTTCGGTTCAATTCAACAGTCGGAAGGATGTGGTGCAGAGCAACTATGTGCACCTTCAGCTCCTATGTATTAAACAATAACCTCGAACACGATTGCAACAAGATTTCGGCCTCAGGCATGTCTGAAGGGAGGATCATCCATTTCAAAGTAGCTTTGTTGGTAGCACAAGATCTAAGTGGCATCGCTTTATTGTGTACAGAATGCTGCTCGAAGTTAGAGGTATCCTGCTCGTCTCCAAGAGGAATTACTTTCTTCGTCTGATTTTCTTGGACACCAAGAAGTCATAGTTCAAGGGACCTCCCTCGAGAAAGCCATGAAACTGAAAGAAAAATCTGATGTACTGCGTCATATTCACGAGTTTCCTCCAATTCTCTTTCATGCGACATATTTATCCGGAGAGCATCGAGTGCTTGTGAGGCAAGTGGTACAGCAGCGGCAGCAACTAGGGTAGGACAGATTCAAGTGATGCAATAACGCATACTAATGCTGCATCGTCTGCAACCTCGGATGTCATAAATTATTAGTGGAGCCTCCACTTTCTTTGAGGAGCATCAATAAGCTGCAAATTAAACCACGATCAGAAGGTTTTCCTGCATAGCTGGCATCTCTCAAAAGTAGTTGAAGGATGGTCGATGCAAACAATCAGCATCACGAACCTGATTTAAGGCCCATGACATGCTGACGAAAATTAGAATTGAATCCAGGACTGGAAACTAAAAGCGTCTTTGCCAGCCACGTTCATGTCACATGTGTTCCAGAACTTAACTGCTTGCTGCTCTCTTAGGAGTGAATGAATTATGATCCAAGAAATTCTCGAAGCTGACAGGAAAGGCCTGGTCATTTCCCAGCTTCTTGTTGAAAGCCCCACAGTTTGAGGAAAAAGGAATCGAGCACGAATTCATCGAGAAGCTAGAAGCAGTCCTTCAGGAATGCTGGTTGCGCTTTTGTTACTCCAAGGTCTGAGAAACATAGTGGTGATTCCATCGTCGATAGACGGTATCAATATGGTATATCCAAATATTTCTAGAGCTTCCTGTCTGTGCTTTATTTTGTTCATTCGAGAATGGCCAAAGATCCATGTTCAAATTACTATAAGAGCAAGCAATAAGTGAGTCAGAACAGAACCTTTAATTTTAGGAGTACTAAAATATCAAAAAAGATTGAGAACGATTCTCTTATAAATAGACCTGAAGTACATCATGTCTTCTAATGACAGTTTCATTTTGACCTTACAAAGGAAATATCAAAGTGACAACGATATGTAATGTTCCAATCAGGGTGTACGATGCTTGCCATTTTCACTACATAGACGTCAATCTACAAAAGAACTGTGTCATCTATGAACATATCATTTTCAAACAAAAGAAGTTATTCAATAAAATATCCAATCAAATCCCAGGCAATTTGTTGCAAGTGATTTTTTTTCTTAAAATACGACATAAAATTTGTCTATTAAGATACTAGACATAACTGCCATCTATGTAGTAAAGATGCATGAGGGCAAAGAGATAAACCGTTATCAAACACAATATCTAATCAATTGATTAATGATATATATTAATTGATAAACTCAAATTCCATTAATAACTTCAACTTAACAACTCTCCTTGAATTACTCTTTCCTTCAAATCAACATAATAATTTTCTTGAAGTTGGTAGACAATGAATGACAAATCAACATAATACTCTTAAAAATATTCTTGACATGTTCGCACAAGCATGTTTTATATTTCTAAAACATAAGAATTTCATTAGACAAAATCAATTATCTCTAATATCCTTGTATAAAAAATAAAACTAATCAAAATAAATTTTTATTTCAAGAAAATTTAATCAAAATACAGATTAGATCAAGTTTGCTTTGATAACAATAAATAATAGAAATCATTATTTTTGAATTTTTTGAAAATATTTTTGAAGTGATCTTCAAAAAATAATCATTTTATCATTCTTTTAACATTATTTATATAATTTGTATGAAAGAAAAAAAATAAATTCTTGAAAATAAATGCGAATTTATTATTTTTCATAATAGAATAATATTTACTTTCAATTTCATAATTTACCTTAATAAATTAAGATGAAGTTTTTACTTTTATTTCTAAAATTGATTTTGATATCTACATTATTGAATCAATTGCCACCTGGTCAGTTTGTAATCATACATTGAAAATTTTTGAAAATGCTTAAAATGTGATGTGCCAAGATACTAGATTATGAAATTATGATTTGTCAAATTCAAAAATTTTCATACCTTGCTTCATTACGTAAAATCATAAAGACTTTAAGCTTCACAAAGATGTCACAAGTAATACCTTTGAGTTGAGCAAAAGGAAAATAGAGAAGTTAATTTAAAAATAAAGAATAAAATATAAAAATAAAATATAATATGAACGATTTTTATTTTTCCCATTATAGATTTCTACAATAAGTAAGTAATCAATGTCATCATTTTCTATAATCTTAGTAAATCGATGGCATGAAAAATAATGTAACAAACAAATCATTGTTGACGTGTATTGTACATAAGTAATGCAGTTATTCTTTATCTAACAAGCACATGTAGCTCTTATTTAGCGCATTTACTTTTCATCTATTATGTACAAAGATCCATTAAAAACATATAAGCATCAAGTTGTGAAAAATAAAATTCTTGCATTAGAAATTAAAGAGAAAATGAGCTAGAGATTTGATATTAGAACTTCAAAATTGGATTCTCAAGTTCAACGGAAACCAAATTCTACACTTGAGAGCCAAATAGGAATTGATTTCAAGATAGTGAAGATCAAATCAATTTCTTATTTAGAATGAGAAAGTCATCTAAGGTAAAAACATACAAGAAAAATAAAACAATAGGAATTTTAACATTTTGGAATATGAATGTAACACTAGAAATAAGACACTAACTCACTCAAATATAAACAATAACTTCTAAGGATAAAAAATATCTAGATTGATTCTACTTCTATTTCTTAGATTTTACTAACAATTACAAAAAAATTATATTTTAGTTTCATCATCTATGTCATTTATACTGGATTAATGAAATGATTGATAATGCTAATAATCATACTTATTGTTGATATGGTGATTATAGATTGTTCAAAATAATCTATTGTAATATAATTATATTTTCATCTTTATTAACCTCTATTTTAATTCTAACTAACTAAAATTGATTATATTAAAAAATATATAAATTTATGTCACTTTTAAAAAAAAAATTATTACATAAATTTTTATTTTATTATTCATTTACATGATTATACTACATTAAAACAAATAATTAAAAAAAAATAATTTACATTCAAATATTTATCAATAATATGAACTGAAAAAATTCTGGAATGTGTTCAAGAGATTAGAATGATCAAGTACGCAAGAAAATGAAGATAAATAATCTATTCATGATGCATAAAACAATTTTAGTTGTTCAATATATATATATATATATGATGCTTGTGAAATCACACAAGAAGAATCATTATATTTTTATGCCAATAATATTTAAAAAATTTTGAAGTGTAAAAGATTATGCATTATTATTGCAAGATTTAGAGATGAGATTTGATTATTCTTGATTTTAAATTTACAAAAATTATATGCAAATAATATGTATGACTCAAGAAGTAACAAGAATATATGAAAGTTATGGTACATAAGATGTTCATTCATGTGATCATTCAACATTCTTATTAATTTTCTCTCTCTTCATATATCACAATCAAATTTGACTTTTATGTCTATTTTGCTCTTCATCAAAACTATCTAACAAGTACATTAATTTTCATATAGAAATCAATGTTATTTTAATTTTCAATAATGTTGTATTAAATCCAATAAGAATATCTTTTATTTTTTTGACATTCAATATATACCCTTATAAAGAAAATTATTAAAGAAAAAATTTGATTTTTTTTCATCTCTCCCTTATTTGTATATGTTAATAAATATCAACTAGATTCATGATTTGTGATAAAAACATGTGATATATTATATTTATAATGATAATTTATCATATTTGTCCAACCACATATATAAAGACAAATCTAAAATATAATAAAATAGTATCACTAAAACAAAATTTTAATCTTATACACATAAAAAAAATCAAATTAAATTACAAAAAATTATTTCTATTATTATTCCTCCGAAGAATCTGATAATATGAAACAAACACTGTACAGATAATAAAAAATCAATAAGTTATCATCATCGGACCATTAATAACGAACATGTAATTTGCTCTCAATTTCGTGAGTTGAGGTGATTCAAGTGTTCTTCCTATCCACTTTCGCCACTTTTGGTACATGAAATCTTGGTCAGAGGCATTGATTTCACCAGAAACACGGAGGGCAATGCATTGCATACATAAGTTCTAAGAGATTTGCAAACCTGGGGGAAAAGACGAACTCGATGCTGGCAGCCTGGACGCATCTCACTGTCCTACATTCCTGGGACCGGCAGCTGGCAGAGTGTGCAGGAGGTGGCAAACGCAAAACCTCGAGACAAGCTCGAACATCGAATATTCCTGCTCTCGCTCACAGGGGTCCTGTCACCCGGTCCGGACCATGTCGTGCGATCCGTCCTCAGAGATCCAATTGCGCACAAATTCTTGAGCAATCTGAGTCCAGCTTCGCGGGCGAATTGGGAGATGAAGTCCGACGGAATGCATTTCGAAAGCGTGGCGGTCGAGGGCCCAGATTTTGCAGGCGTCGCTCGGCTGGTTTTGAATCGACCAAAGCAATCGAACGCACTGAATGCTGCGATGTTCCGAGAAATTCCTGCCGCCGTAGCTTCTCTCGATGCTGATCCGAATGTCCGCGTGATCATCGTCGCCGGAAGCGGGAAGCATTTCTGCGCAGGAATCGACTTGCAGTTTTTATCGACCGATTCTGTGCAGTCCTCTTCGGCTGGTGGTGGTGCCGGTCGTCTAGGGCTTGAGAGGGAGGCGTTCAGAAGGCACGTCAAGTGGCTGCAAGACGCTTTCACCTCTTTCGAGCATTGTCGAAAACCTGTCATCGCTGCCATCCACGGAGCTTGCATCGGTGCAGGAATCGATATGATCACGGCGTGTGATCTACGCTACTGTACAGACGATGCCAAGTTCTCTGTAAAAGAAGTGGACCTCGCCATCACCGCGGATTTGGGAACCCTGCAGCGATTACCGCATGTGGTTGGCTACTCGGCGACCATGGAGCTGGCGCTCACTGCCAGAGCATTCGACGGAAAAGAAGCTCGCGAGTTGAAGCTGGTGCATGGGGTTCTGCCTTCGAAGGATTTATTGGATGAGAGGGTCTACGCAGTGGCAGCAGAAATTGCCGGCAAATCTCCTCTTGCGATCATGGGAACCAAAGCAGTTCTCTTGAAGTCGCGAAATTCCTCTGTTGCAGATGGCCTGGACTACGTTGCCACCTGGAATGCTGCTTTGCTTCACAAAGAAGACATTTTGGAGGCCATGATGTCGAGGATGGAGCACCGCAATCCTCTCTTTGCCAAACTTTGACAGTCGTGCGGAGCGCTTTATTGAGATTTGATAAGATCCGTGCTCGATGTCTCGGGGTTTACATCTAGACGTGCTTACGATCGTGTCCCAGCAACCGAAGTGAATGCTTCGATGTATGGTAGGGGTCCGATGCCGAGCAGGGCGAGGCTTATAAACACAACTGTAAATACTACCTAGCTAGCAATGCAGAACGAAGAGGCGATTGACTCCCACATGATGCACACAAGGACAGTCCGTCAGTAACACCGTGTTGTCCACTCGAATGAAGCCATCCATGTCTTCACTCCGATTTGCTCGAAACGGGGAAGGAATTGTCAGAACTCCCCCGAAGAACTCCGCCGTTCAAGTTGTGTGTGGCATGCGGATTTCGCCTCCGACAACTTCCTCAGACTCCTGGATGTGCACTCAGCCAGAATCTGGATGGTTGACAAGTAGCAATGCAACATCACGCAATCGTGTGGGTTGCAACATTAGGCCGTATCAGTGAAGAGTTGTATTGCAGACATGGCTAATAAAGTGTTTTGTTTGAGGACTCCAGATGGTTCACACAACTTTACATTGCACTGCACTGCACTGCACTGCACTGCCATCCTTGTATAACGTCCCGCCGGGATCACACAACCGATCGCCGTCGTGGCAAGGAACTTTCCTTCGCCTCCTGAACACTTCCATGGACCAGGGCTGCGGATTCGGGACGACAGTCGCAATTCTGTAGAGGACGTCGAGGATAGAACTAGGCGCCAGCCAGTGTCCTGATACCACGTCGGAAGGCACGTCTGCGAACGTTGACGGGGGAGTCGTGGCCGTTAGCCACGATTTGGCATGACGATTGCGTAGCCTTGGCTGACGCGGGGATGGGTGGGAGGAGGAGAGAACAGAGACGACGCGTTCTCGATCTGTCCGAGAAAATAAGCAAATAGACGAATGAAGGAAGTGTGGAAATGGGCATGTGCCTCTTGCTTCGCCTGTCTAGTGGAGTTTCGGCAATTAAGATCCCCCCAGAGCTCCCAGCGTCCTGATCCAAGGCTTCTCGGTCGTGTAGTCGGATGCAGGTTGGTTGGTTGGTTAGCAGCGGTACCTCAGCACCAACTTCTCTGCAGAGTATATGACAAACACATGTGGGGAATAGGTTCACGCTGCAGCAGAGCAACTGTCCGTCTGCCTGCGTTGCGATGCGAGATGTCTGGCGAAAGTTGCATACTTCGGTTCTTAATTGCGAACCGAACCAAACGGAAACGACAAGTACAGAAACGTCAATAACTGTAAGAGGACGAATTTACTCTTCTCATCTGTTGCTGTGCTGTACTGCACAGGAGATGAGTGTGGTGGGAAAGGGGAAGAGCACGGTGTCAAAGCCCAACAACTCTGCGAGAACAGTATTCCCACTCTCGCAATGGTCGAGTCAAGGCCCGTCTTGATGAACTCGCCAACCTCGTTCTGCATGGGGCGGGGAAGGAAGGGCTCTTCCTCAGTTTCGGAAACCCTGCTCTTAAAGAGCGAGGAGACATGTCGGTGAGTGAAAGTCGTTGGCACGCTTCTGGTGCATCGTAAGAATGGCTGCTCATGGATGAAACGACGGCCTCGATGACAGAGTCTGCATCTCCCACTCCACTCTACTCTACTCCACTCGCTGCGTCTCTCTACGATCGATGTTGGCTTGCTCGCTCCACTCTACTTCACATCTGAAAGCTCATTGTGATCGTGTCGGCTTTACGCCAAAGTTTCACTTCCCCTGCGTGAATGACGTGACGACCTGTCCTTGCTGCGATTGCTCGCTCGACTGGCCCACTGGCTCACAACTGTCTGCCAGGGCTAGGGATGACGAGGTGAATGATGAGCTTCGGAGCGCATGTATGGGGGAACGAAGGTATTTTGGAAATTGGGATCAGATGAATCATACATGCATGCATACATACATACCCCCGAGGCTGAAGTCTGCTGCATCGCTTTTGTCCGTGTGAAACGAAGCGACCGGCATTACATGTCACGTGACCGACGGCCCGGACATCGAGGTTATGGGCCTTGCTATCAGTTTTCTAGCAACTTGAGAGTGCGACACGAATGTGAAACCCGGGCGAGAGCAACGGCATTCCCATCCCTGATCGTTAGGCCAAACACTGGTAGATTAGGCACAGTTGACCTCCGATGCTGCCTCGCTCACTCGTATCGTGCCGAATAAGCACTCGAATAAACCGTACGGCGGGTGACTGCTGCTGCAACTGCTCTCACTGTTTGGTGTTAAAGCAACGAAGGTGCGCAGGAGAGTGTTGACCGCAGGAGTCGAATAGAATCGAGTCCGAAGAATTTAGCTGTTTGCTAACTCATGCGAGGGTCCTGTTTGGGCATTAAATAATTTTTGCGGCACGTATTTGCTGCACAAACGGCCCGACTCGGAAGCAGAAGGATATCACTTTCCACTTCGTCGTCAGTCTTCTGCGCAAAAGGTGATTGGAGCAAGTGCAGGCAGGGCTTCTACCCCAAGAGCGACCTCCCTCTGCAACCTCCTTATCGACTGGAGATCACAATGACGACTTCCGTTTCCAGAAAGGCAATGGCTCGATGACACGCAATAATGCTTAACTCTGTAGACTCGCACTGCTGTGAAGTGGAGCTTCCAGGTTAATCGATACTACAGCAGAGCAGAGCAAACTCCTCATAATTTACAATCTGGCCCGTTGACATATGATGTATGGTAAGAATTCTCAGTGCAACTTTTATTGCAAAATACGTACTGTGTATGTACCTTGCAGGTTTAAAAAAATCAGTGCGTGATACACTGTTGCAAATCAATAGCGGTGATCCTCCTCTGAATAGTTTCAATGTGCCTGGATGGTAGCTCAATGCATGAGTACATGGAGGAACACGGCGTTCAGAAAAAAATTGCTTTTCCTGACTTATGACCTGGAAATATCAATCAGGGCACAGACAGTCTCTACTTACTGGTAAGCCTACAACAATTGTACACAGGGGAACCCCAACACTAGCCTCAGAGCTTGAGGACTTGACACACAATCTCTCCAAATTTACAAAGGAGTAACTCAAGGTGGGGCTTTGCTCAGCCCTAGAGATCAATCCGATCCTAAGACTCAAAGAGGAAGGCCTCCCACTATTGGCTTGATTTGATATGGCCAACACGAAGCATATTCACAACAGCTTTAAGCTTCAGCAAGCAGTCATGCACACTTCATGGGTGCAAGACATGAAAGTAGCTAATCTACACGTGATCATGGACAGAATCAGTACCAATACGCATTGTCGAAGGTTTGCTGGGGCGTTCCCCAAGTACGCTCCTTATGTCCAACTCAAATCCCAATAACTTCGTGGGTTTTTCTCCAGCGTGGATCATGATGCTGTTGGCAGTAAATCCTGTATACCAAGAAGGACGACTTCGCGGTTATTCTATCCCTGCCTAAGTGATTGGCAAAGTTAGATGGTACTCAACAAGCTCCAGTGTATGGGCACCCCTTTTTGTTATCGACCCATGGACATCGGGACCATGAGTGGACGGCCGACCAGTAGTAACACGAGTGAGATGACCTTTCTCCTCTCCGAGGCGTGGACTTAGTCGTCATGACCAAACTCCTGATTGATCCTCCTGTTACGAGCCATTGATTCCTGCCTTTGGAGTCTCATATCCTCGTGCATCCTGGCCAGGAACGACTCTATTTTCTGATGCAGAGCATCGGGTTCTTTGGGCTCCTCCGTAATTTCACTCTCTGTGCTATCTGAGGCTACGCTCGGTTCCGGAGGTGGCCTAATCTTTGTCCTCCTCGAGTTCGACCTCTCGGGATGGTCCACATTTTGGCTGGTTGAAGGTCCTGAGTCTGTTCGGAAAGAACGGACAGAAGACGTCTCCGGTGCGGGTACATGATATACTTCCTCCGCCGGAATGGCCACTCTAGCAGACCTTAGTGACGCATCCGCACTTGACGAGGCCTCCTGTTTAGGTGAAATATTCCTTCCTTCGGTCGGCTTGTAAAACTTGAAAGCAGGAATTTCGTCGCTCGACACTACAGAAGGATCCTTCACCTCCAAGGGAGGAGGTATTTTGAAGTGTGGAGGAGGAGGAGGCGGCATAGGTCGAAGCATAGGGGGCGAAGTAGGAGGGGAAAAGTCATCTGCAGGAGGTGGCTGCGAGGAAGCCTGCTTCCTGATCGGTGCCGCATCCGGGGGTGAAGGTGGAGAGGAGACCTTGATCACAGGAGGAGGTGGAACCGGGATCTGAACTGGAATGGACTGCCTCGGTGGACGCTGCGTCCCTTCCGTCTGAGTTTGCTTGGGAGGATCCCGTTCTGCTCCGCCAGGCACAGGTACTCTCTTCGAAGCAGGCCGTTGGAGATTTTCTATGACTTCAGCAGGAGCTCTTCTCGTCCTACTGAGTTTGTCTGCCAAAGCTTCGAGCGCTGCAGGCTTCTTGTACGGCATCCGGGGTTGAGCATCTCCCGAGGTCTCATTGGCAGTGGCCTTCTTGGAGGTAGGGGGTCGATGCAGAGACTCCAACGGGGGTGTTGGCTTGGAAGGAGGCCGCTCAGAAACCTCCACCGAAGGCGTTTTCCTCGCAGTGGACATCCGTTCTGGAACTTCTGAGGGAGCTGCGGTCTTCTTCGAAAGGGGCCGCTCTGGAACTTCAGCTGCAGATGCCTTATTTGAAGCTACCCGATCAGGAACCTCCGCCGCTGATGCCGTCTTCTTCGGAGCTGGCCGCTCTGGAACGTCTGCAGGACTCGGCTTCTTCGGTGCGGGACGCATCACAGCCGGTGCAGGTGCCGGAGTCACTTTACTCAATTCCGCTTCTCCTGGAGGAGCCTGATGCGCTGATGAGAAGTAATGAGCGATTTCGGCTGGGAGTGACTGGACAGGAGGCGGGTAGAACACTTCCGTTGGATAGGAGTGTGGAATGTCTCTGGAAGCCACATCCACGGACGAGTTTCGGCTGTGGACCTTGGCTGGCCTGGTGGCCGTCATCTCCACCGGCACGTCTTTGTTATGAATCCTGGTTGCCTCGGAGTGGAAAGACTTCCTGTTGATTTCGTCCCTCCTCTTCATCTCCTCGTCTCGCTTCTTCATCTCCTCGAGCTTTCTCGCAAGTGGTTCCACGTAGTTGTCGATCTGATCTCGTCGGTTGGCACGACCCGAGGTAAACGTGTGAGCCTTGACAAGTTCTGCCTTCGGGGGAGGGGCCGAGATCAATGGTTCGTCTGCCCTAGCATACTTGATTGACGTCTCCGTGAAGTTCCGCTGAAGCTTTCCGTTTCCATAGGAAATTGGTGGATCATCAATTGTGGTGAAAGGATCGTAGAAAGCTGGACCCGGGACATCCTCAAACTCTTTCGCCACTGCATCATTGGATTCCACGCTCACTCCTTCATCCACCCGCACTTTGTCCTCGTCCGGGAAAGCGACCACTTCTTCTTGCTCAGCAGGAGCCACGACAGCAGAAGGAATGCTCCTGCTTAAGACCACTTCCGGCTCCATGGATACTTCTTCTGGCTCGGCTTCCACGATTCCGGCGGATGGTATGCTCATACTGGAAACAACTTCTGGTTCAACAGCTTGAACTTCAACCGATCTTGCGGGTTCAGGTGAAAACAGGACAGGGTGAATTTCCGGAAGAGGAACAGATTCTTTCGTAGGTGCTGGAATTTCTCTCGTCTGAATGTCCACGTTCTCAGCGGAGTTCGCCTGTTCCGCACCGACTTCTTCCGTAAAGACGGTTGCCTCGTACACTGGTTGGACTGGTGTGTAAGGTACAGCAGCCTTTGGCTTCGCCGGTGGCACATAAGAACGATAAGCAGATTCCTCGAAGGAATCTGCATCATCCTCGGGATAGTCAGAAGAAGAATCAAGGGGTACGACTGGCGCTGCCGGATCAGACACGTCTTTCTCTATGTACACTTGCTGATAGGGTTCTGATCCACTGTTGGAGCCAAAAGCAGAGACGAAGCCAGAGGAGAGAACAATAGCACCCACAATCAAGTTCACAAAAAGCCACCACATGGAAGGAGTGCCCCAAGTCACCGTAACGTCTGTTGCCCAGTCGTAGAAACTGGAAGCGCCTTCCACAAGGAAAGGAAGTCGGCTGATGAACCACATACTTGCTACACCAGCCGCGATCACAAGGACGCTCAAAATCACACAATCTGACGGCTTCGACATGAACGGCCGCTGTCCATTCTTGAATCTTCTCGAATTGGATGATTGCCTAGGTAGATAGGTGCTACCATACTTCGAAGGCTCCCGCTGGTTATACATCTTGACGTTACTCACCCAATCACCCGCCCGCTCGTGCAGGTTAATCCCAAATTAAGTAGCCCCTGAGAGGACCTACAACCAACTCAAACTTTAGAAAACTTGAAAGATATAACAACAACTAATTTGAGAGGATTTCAAACTAACTCAATATCATCTTTGATCTGGAGATTCCAACTCCCAAAGCTGCTGATTCTCTGATCAAGCATCTAGCCTGCCAAATACTGGATCGAATGGGACATGCAAAGCAGATTGATCTACTTCGTGCATTCCCCATCAATAGCACCTCCACTCAAGATTGCAAAGCGGAGTGACGCTCGGTCCCTTAGAAAGCTCAGACTACAACCGAGAGTCACCGCCTGTATTACAATTTGCCCGCTAAAGGCCAGCGCTTTGCAAACAACAGATGTGCTACAATGTTTGTTTTCAATTCATAACTTAGTTCGACCTGATGAATAGTACATACAGGCGGGATAACTCTTCCCATTCCTCCTGGCTTCTTCATCAGGCCAAAGAGGAAGACAACGCAAGATGAAAGATATGCACCGCTCCTGAAAGATGAACACTGAGAAAGTAGAACCAGAAGGGTCTTCGACGGCAAGAGACATCGCTCAAAATTGCTTGCCACGATGCAGCAGCAATGATTCGGCACAGATGTTAACCAACATCCGGGTTTGTGAAAAACTCAAAAGCACTGTTGCAGACAAGCATTGAAACCAGATAACATAGAAGGAATCTGGTCTTCCCTGGAGAGGCAAGACTGACAGATCTTAGTGCGAGATGTCTGGCAACTCCACGACTTGCATTCCCCTCAAAACTGACCATTGATGACAAGAATATGGACGGTTTCTTCGGAATCCAGACCGACTCGATGCCTACAGGTGCTAGAGGAGAACATGAAAGAGGAAAGTCTGCTTAGGAAATGAGGAGCAAGATACGAAGATAGGAGATAGAACTTGCTCGGGACGCCACCTCGTAGACTCGATTGAATCTTGACACAGGTTTAGAGCACAAAAGCCGTTCAATGAAGCCACACTTGGAGGACAATTCAACTCACCGAGAGCGATCGACTTCCCCGATATGCCAGGCGCATAAACGAGAAGCAGGCAAACATGCGTATCCAACAAGCTAAGAAGCCAACCCCGCACAACCTGCAAATGGATCTCTGTTCCTCCACAGCCCCACACACAGATCCAACCCGGCCGTGGCGCACAAGAATTAGCAGATCGAACAGAGTCCAATCAACAACAGCCCTACAATGCCTTCCTCGGAGGATCCAGAAAGACGCCCCGATCTGTCCGTCCCCCTCCCGTCGTCTGCCCTCCGACCTTCCTGCCCTGCAGCTCGCGCGGTCTCCGCCTCTCGCTCCTTCCTTCTAGCTCGGTGATCCGTTTCTTGTAAAAGTCTGCTCTCGTGTCAGCAGCGCGGCGGCCAGCAGCAGCAAACAAAGATACACAAAGAAGGACGCACGCCGACACAGACAACAACCTGCTCACCCCGAGCCAGATGATCTCACTCGCCCGATATCCCCTCCGCCTCCCCTCTCTCCAGCGACATCTATCTATCTAAACAACACCATCCCGCGTGTCTCCTCCTCTTGGTCCCAGACTACAGCGGCGCAACACATGACGCCCATTGCTCCCCAGATCCAGCAAACCAGACCCGCACTACACTCCTCGCGACCCAACTCTGACTCCGACTCCGACTCCGACTCCTCGCCCCTCCTCCTCCTCTTCCTCCCTCCTTCCCGCTCTCTATCCCGCCCTCTGACCATCCACCGAAAATTTGCAATCTGCAGCAAGTCTCGACTTCGCCACAAGCTGCTGCTGCTGCTCCTCCTCCTCCTCCTCCTCCCCTCGCTCCCTCCCTCACCTCGTCCCTCACTCTCGCCCCGGGGCCTCTACCTCAGCCTCACCTCGGTCGCTCGCTCGCCCACTGCCTCGCTGCCGCGGTCGCTCGCTCAAGCCATGATCTCGCTGCGCCCCATCGAGAATGAAAAGAAAGCGACCTCGCGGCCCAACGCCCCCCTAGTCTCCTCGAGCGCTTGCGTCCACTCCATGTCCCCACCACGGGCCACGAAAGAAAATTGAAACATGATCCCACCACCACCACCACCACCACCATCCGAACCACCCACCCGGCCCCGGCCCCGTCCCCTCGCCTCGCGCGGCCCTCCGGGTCCCGTAGCAGCTGCGCTGCTGCTATTTTGTTTGTCGCCCCGTCCTCGCCCGTCGCCCGTCGCCCACACAAAATAAAGTACGCCAGATTCCACCAGTGCCGCTCCATCGTGCCGCGTAATCAGCGAGTCCAAAGCCCTGATTATGACTCCCCGGCTAATCTAATCTTCTGGATAAGACCGGCCCGATTTTACGCCACGCACTCACGCTACTCCTACGCCTAGCCCTCGCCCGCTATCCCACTATCCCAAAACAACAGACTCACGAGTCGCGACCAACCCGACGAAAAGGTCGGTTGTCGCTCGCTTGCCTCTCTTCTTTGATGCGGCTGCAGCCGCTGGGTTAGGTGGCGGGCGGGCGGCCGGGTGGGCGGGGCCGGGCCGGGTGTGGCCATCTCCTGTCAAAGACCATTGAACCTTACCGTCGCCCCGCCCGCTCGCTTCGCGTCCCAGATCCAGGCGATCGATCGATCTATCAATCATTCGGCGATTTGAAACCTTTACCAATTTATGGCTGGCTGGCTGGCTGGGCTGGGCTGGGCTGGCTGGCCGGCCTGGCTTGCAAGTTCCACTGCTTTAGGTCTGCCCCTGGGACGACGTCCTTTCCTGTCCTGTCCCAACACTTGGGTCGGATCGGGTCGGATAGACTTGGTGGGGCCGGGCTGGTTTGGCTCGATGGAACCTTTACGCCTGCGCCCGGCCCGGCTCGAATATGCCCCCGTTTGGTGATGTCGTTCGTTTGTCCGCCTCTCGTTGATCCTCTCTTACTGTTACTCTTCGAGACTACCCAAACCCATAACATTTATACTTGTATTTTGATTGTCCGCTGCTTTTGTCAATGTCAGGACTACCGAAAGTCAAATTCATTAACGAAGCCAGCGAATATTTAGTTAGCTGCGAAACGACGCATTATCGTCTCCTCATTTCCAAGTTTAATGGATTTTTCCATCTCCGTATTGGTATCTGTCGGTCCGTTGACGTGGAGGCCCCACGTAGTAGATATTATTGTCCCACCACAAGGACCCAACGAGCACTGTCCAGGGACTTCCAAAAGACTTACATTGACGGTGGGGTATAGTTGAAGACTTATAACAATAATTCAAAAAGAATCATTGAGCGCGATTTTTATATGTCCTTTTTTACGTCCCTTTTGATTTATATCCGCCGAATGCATGTACCTTACGTCAAACATTTGACTTACAAGTCATGTGTTCTATCTTGTCACTACGATGGCATGTTGAAAAATGTACGAGTTATTTCATTTTTTTATTTTTTGTCCGCAGAACCATGTCTAGGTGAAAGATTAGAGGGAACTTCAACTACACCATCTTATTTGTAAATAAATCTCTCAGTTGGCTTTAGGTGGCACGTATGGGTGATATGCCTAAATACGTGCAATAGCGTGAACATACATTGAATGAAGCTACATTTGTCTGACAGAAATCGATAAGAAGTCGGAGAACTTTTTTCACACATTCGTCTTCAATGTATTTTCTCCTTTAACGAATAAGGATCCAGGCATCTTTTTTTTAACATTATCGCACATAAATTGCTCCATTTGTACACTACCAAACGAATTCATGATTTTCACTGAGTATATATATATATATATATATATATATGTGGAAATTTGATCAAAAATTTAAAATACATTTATGCCTATGGTTTGAGGCTACTAAGAATATAATCTCATAAGTAATATAGCTAAAAGAATGGTAAACCTTGCTATATTCTAATTCCAATGCTACAGCAATCATTTTTTAATTGGTATTTTGTTTGAAATGTGGAAAATTTGATCTAGTAGGCGCAAATAATCATTAAATACTTTGATGTATTTTATAATAACTTTTGGCCGTATCAAATTTTCGATTCTATCCTATACCTATTGATGCGTTCTTTCCATGCTATTTACTTTACCCCTCTCCTTCAAACAAATCTCTTACAACTTGCTGGATAAATGTTTAATTCATACAATTATCACAGATTATCGATTTTATACTATTTATTTGCAAGTTTCACAAGATTGATGATTTCAGCTAGACTGAACAACAAAACATGAGCTAGAGCACTTGTTTAATCTTCGATTGAAATGCTTCAAATAAATGTGGTTGTATGGATTTCAAACTAGCGTACCACGGAATGATGGAATTTATATTGACACGAATTATACAAAACTAATAAGTGTCTCTGTAACTTATTACTTTGTATAAGTAGATATATATTTACTTACTTCAGATTCAATCTCACAAATATCGTCAGATTTAAAATGTTTCAAATATATGCACCTCCATGGTTTTCATATATATTTTCTCTGACAAACATACATCATACTTGTATTAATCACACGAATAAATCAAGCTCATTCAACGTTGCAATAATATGCAATTTGCTTGAAATCATTAAATTTATAAAATTTTATAAGCAAATATATATTATTCTATTGAAACAATTTCGAAATTCGCATACAATTTGTACAAAAATTGTAGCAATGTATATTGGTATGAATTTTTTATTAATTATTTCTTATTCATATATGATTCAAATTTTGACATGAAATGTCAAGCAAAACTTTTACAAATATGCAAAAAAAATAAGAATAAAATATCTTGACAGATTACTATATATTTATTTTTGAATTACGTTATCTATTCAATAAAATGTGCTGACTTTAGTATAAGCTATCATGCTTTGAGTATATGTTCAGTAATATATCACACATTATCTAAAATATGAACTTGACAAGTCATTGGAGTTGACAGATAAAATCATTTAAATAAAAAATTAATATAAAGCAAGTTGTATGAGTTGATATTAAATGTATTTCATCAAATCAGTGAATCTTAAATATGGTTTTTGGCTCTTAAAAAAATTTAATATATGATATTAAGTTGACATTTGACTTGACATATGATTATTTGACAAATAAAATGATAAGAAATTGATGAACTCATCTTTTATATCAAATTAAAATTTTATGAATCTAAAAAAATATATCATTTGATTTTTTTAAGAATTTGAACTTCTTAATTCATATTTTGAGTGATTCTATTGTGAACATTTTTTAACCTAAATTTGATGTTTATAACTTATAGTTAAATTTATGTACCGTATGAAAGGTTATATACATTATTTATACAAAAAAATGTATATGAAAAAATTCATAAATTTTTTTGATCAGATATATCACATAGAATTGACAGGCCAATTTTTTCAATGTAAAATGAATGTAATTTAAATTTAAATTCTATATGAAAATTATATAGCAATTTAATTTTAATGTCTTATTATTTTATTTTATTTTTTAATTAAAATAATAATTAATTTATTCAACATAAATATATGATCATTTTTGTTTACAAATCATTGCTTCTTCATATGATCAAACTCATTTATGGTTTTACAATTTTGTTCTCAAGTAAATTTGATTAGAATTATATAAATAAAATTTTATAGATTTTCCATATATATTTGAAAACAAAATTAAATTTCTTTGAATATATGTTAATTAAATTGATTGCAGAACACTTTCAATGAACAATGAAGGCTTTTTGTTACAAAATTCTAAAACATGTTACCAACAGCATATACGTGTCTTCTTATATAATGACATTCTAAAGAACTTCACTAAATGATTTTAAGTTAATATCAGTAAGTAAATAACTTGGTAAACTCTTAATAATCTTTACTGTGATTCAAGTCTTGTAGACACTAACCTCTATAGTCTATTTACTTATATAAACGTAGGTCTTGACTTATATCAAGTTAGAATTTTAGAAGTTTATCTTTTAACTCCTGTATATAGAAATGTATTGAAAAAGCAAAGAATGTCTATATAATCTTGTGATTTAACTTAGGCCTTGACTTAAGTCAAGTTAGATTATTTGAAGTTTATCTTTTAACTCTTGTATGTTAAAAATGTGTTGAAAAAGCATAGAATATCTATATAATTTTTTGATTTAACTTAGGCCTTGACTTAAGTCAAATTAGATTATTTGAAGTTTATTTTTTAACTCTCGTATATTAGAAATGTATTGCAAAATGATAGAATGTCTGAATACCAATTGTGAACTCTAGTCTCAAACGAGGTTCGAGGTCCTTGTCAATCCCACAAAGGAGAGATTTGTGACTTATGGGGAAGCCAAAGAATGTCTTTGTGACTTCATGACAATCCAAAAACCGTTATCGTGACTTGGAAAGCAGTGTGAAAAAAGTGAAATGTTTAGATATGAGATTTGAATCTAAATCCTAAGTTTTTTGTTCTAAATCTTAAATTCTATAATATTTCTTGATGGATGGCTTTTTTAAACATGAGTGAAAATAAAATTCATGCATATAGATGTCACAAGGTACAATCTTAATTTTTCAATGGAAGTATATGATTGCCATAAATATGATGGATGCCATGACTTTCTGCCACGGCAGAGTCAAGTCAAAGGCAAGCTGAAAACTACGGGTTTGGCCAAGATGTTGGAGTCTAAATCCTTCATCTTCAACAATGACGACTATCTACGGATTATTCAAAGTACTTTTACAACCTTAAAATACAAAATGGTTTACAAGAGAAAATAAAAGTGAAAATAAAAACAAAAACTTTTCAAATTTTGATATAATTTTAATTTTTATATCTCATATATATTCTTATGTTTTCAAGTATATGAAACAATATCATGCTTTCTTTTGATCTGTATTTACTTCTTTCAAACTTTTGATGCTTAAAACTAAGTTTGAAACTCATATCAATAGATTTTAAATAAACCTTGTACATCTTTTAAATTCAAACTGAAAGAAAATAATATTACAATTGTATTGATTTTTTATAATAATATAATACTTATATTCTAAATTCATTTGTGACTTCAAAATCAACATTGATTTCCTAGAAGTATTAAAACTGAATCTTAAAATTAATCTTTCTAGTTTCAATTGTGGCAAAAATTATGTATTTAAATATAGATTTTTTCATTTATGTTCAGAATAATTTCATTCCATTAGATTATAATTTTAATTATGAAGATTCATTTTTTTGAATATAGTTGACAGTATATTTATTTTTTAAAAAAATTAGTGTACAAATTAGTAATATTTTAATTCGTGTCATTTTTTATATCTCAAATAGACTTGTGGCAAAAAAATTTATTTGTTATGAAATTTCTTATTTGGAAAATATTTCCATAGATGCAATGTGAGATTAACATCAATAGATTTTTCAACAAACTCAAACATGATGTTCTTCGTATTATAATGGGAGTTTTGAATGATAGGAAATATTATTAATCTTTTATATTTAGTTAGTTTTTGTTATAAAGTTCATAAAGAACCTCTCATAAATTTCAATTTCACATCATAATGTTGTTATTGTCGCACATGAAAGTTACTACAATAGCTGCAATTTGAACCGAGTGGATTGTGTGTACTTAGCCGGTAAGGTAGATGCGAACCTTAGATTTATCGTTTGATTTTGCTGCAATAGAAAAAATCGAGAAAAAATTTTGCTGCAAAGACTTCAAACTTATTTGTTTGTGAAAGTCAAAGAAGCTTGGCAATTCATGTAATCAAACTTTATGGAAAATGGATTTATCAAGGCAAAATTAATGACATTAAAAGCTATTCAAGATTTTAAGACGAAACTTGCATAAGCTATCACACCTTTAAATCTTTCTGTTGGAAAATACTAACCTGAAGAATTTGTTCATGTTGAAGATGAAAATAAAGAAGATTTTGCAGTTGTAATATTGATAGTCGTTGAAGAGCTTTTGGAGTCTGCTGAAAAGAATCTCGTTGATGACAATGATATGACATTTTTATCTCTGGAGGCTCATATTCAAGTTTAGGAAACAGCGTTGTATTCATAACATTCAAGTCACTCTATAAGTAAGTTGTGGATATCGATTATTAGTTGCTATGTTCCAAAGGTTAAAAAGAGTTGGAGTAACATTCCATGATCTTAGAAAGTTGTTAAAATCTTTTTTAATAAGACAAATCTTGAAAGCCAAACGCAAGATTTCTCGAAACTTGCAACAAATGAAAGTACATGACATGTTGAATTATATAGATTTGACCCCCCTTTTAAAGAAAATAAAATTAACGCATACTTTACCGGGATGCGTATTTGTAACAGGGAGTGTTACAAAACTTGTGTAACACTCCCTGTTACAAAGATCCAGATTGTAACCGAGAGGACTTACAGTAAGTAAGTGTCAAACAGTTCATTTGCTGAGGAAATAAAATACCTCCAGTACGGATAACAAGGTCATGCTTTGCAGGAAAAGGCAAAAATGATTCTCCTTTTCAGTACAGGACTGGTCATGAAACTCCAGTAATAATAAGTGAATATTCGAAATATGAGCAACGAGTTGAGCGGAAAAGATTCCAGCCGGTTATGTTTTCTTACGGAATTGATTAAATTCCCGATGGTGTATCATATATAACATTAAGAGTAGCTTGGATCATCATCTTGTCTCCTGCAGCTTAAATTCGAGTATTTGACGGGCCGGAAAACTTTAATTATCTTACTTATTTACATACATTTGGATCCTCTCCATGACCAGTTGAGAATTGATTGATAAAACGTCAACCAAGGACTTGTAATTTTCTTTTCATTGCCGGCTGTGTAGACTGTGTATAAAATGAATGTTTATACGTGTGAATGGTTGTTCAGAAACCATATTTGTACATAGTGTGGCCTTCGGATTATTTGCTACTCGCTGCACGAAGTTGAAGTCGAGCAAATGCTCTCTTTAAGTAGAAAAGACTACCGCGATTCAATGGCCTTGTAGAAACTAGAACCCAACTGCACTTGAAGACATAGCCTCTCGAAGCAGCACGACAAGCGGAGAAACAAGTAATATAGCGAAAAGAATGGGAGGACCCATCATCAAGTCGTAAAGGGAGGCTAGGTCCCTAGATCATCACACAGGAATATGTACTACTGCATGTTATGATATTCCCAGAAGGGGTCGGGTATATGTTCCAGCGTAGGGCCCTTAAAGAGGGATCATGCAAGCGAGATTATACACACATGACAAGTAGTGACAGATGCAGTGAGGAAAGGAGGAAGGTAGTTGCTTCTCGCGGGGGAGGTCCTCCACAGAGCAGTAATTATGAGGTGAGAAAGCGAGCAAATCCAGAGGCTACAACAAAGGCCGGGCTCTGCATCTGTAGTTGTCCAGATTGTGGAATTTGTAAGATGGAACAGGAGTCCAGACATGACATGAGGACGGTAAGTCTCGGGAGGTTGAGGACACGGCCTCTGACACCAACCAAGTTTGAAAGCAGGAATAAAGATAGCTAGCTCGGTGCACTACAAGGTCGAGCGAGTTGCATGCAAAAGGAGATCTGTTTAGTGGGAGATCCACGTAGGCTGCGCACCAGACGCCTCTAGCGACGCGAGAGAATTTGGGCCTAAATGGCCTGCCGTACCGGCCGAACAACAAGAGCAAGCGGCAGGAGATTGCGTGGCGACGGTTGAATCCCGAGAGCGTGGGGTGTCAACCGTCCGATGTCTGGCGTCTCTCTCGGTTATCCAGCCTGGTTACAGTGGTTGACTAATGGGAAGACCTTGCTTGTCTTCAAAAAGACCTCGCTTCGCTTCGGCGAAAGGCAGGTGGGAGAATACGAACAAAATCGACACGTGGCGACACGCGTCGGGGCAGAAAATCGACCAAGTGTTCGTCAGTCGAGCATTATTGTTCCTTCGTTCTTTGTGAGGCCTGAGTCCCGGCCAGCGGCATCATCTGGCGTGGCAAATTGCTCAAGAAGAAGAGACCTCGCGCTCCGCCTCGCTTTCTCCATTGGTCGGTCGGCCACTCCTCCGGGCCGCTCTGTCAGGGGCACCACATGAGCTTGTGTCACATATCTCGCCTTCCATCATCACCCCTCCCCCTCTCGCTGTGTGCGGCTCTTTCCTTCTTTCTTTCCATCCGGACCGGCTTCCGATTCGATTTTCTGGTACTGCGCGTTCGCCTCCCGGTTCTGGCCATCATGTTCGCCAACCCGTTCGCAACTCGCGAGCCATTCGCCATTCGTCGGCCCTCTACGAAGCCCCCGTATACATATCTTCTCCGCGAAGGGAAGGGAAGGGATGGCATGCTTTCGGTAGAAGAAGAAGGAAGGGCTCAGAGGCGCATGCCCGCGATGGCTGCGACGGCTTCATGAGCGCTGTCAGCGCGAATTCACGACAGCGGAAAGGCGAAGCGATGCGATGCGATGCGGGCAGCAGGACGGTAAAGGCTGCTGCTGTCAACCATTATATCCACAGTATTCCAATCTAGGAAGGTTTAAATTTTGAAACCTTCACACCCGTTATAATGATTGAGTGTTTGATCGTACATCACAGCAAATATACCTACCTTGGCCCCTAGCACTGTATTGTACTTACGACACCGTAAACGTCCTTAAGCTACACTGATCCGACGCCCCGGAACATGCTGACGTATCGAGCGCGTACGGACGTCGGGCGATGATACTCGAGGGGAGAAACGTGCGGATGAAGATCAGTGGAACTCTGGGCTTGTGAAAGTGATGAGTGAAGCCTCCCGTGAAAAGCTCGCTCCTATTGATCCTAAAGGCCCTTTACGGTTACAGTACCTGAAATGTAATCTGCGTGTAGCCGCAACGTGCACTTTCCCGTACGGCGAGCAGAGACAAGACTACGGTCACATATCTACACACTTGTCGGACATGTATGCAGTGCCCGCCCGCCCCCGCCCCCCCCCCCCCCCCCCCCCAAACACCCGCCCCTGACGCTCTACAGAATGTTCGTATACTGTATGCTCCTGTTGCGAGCTCGAGCTCGAGCCGAGCCGAGCGTTGTGCGCTTCCTTCCTACCACCGTCTCCGCTGCTCGCCACGTGATGCTCAAGATGGTCATCGGCCTGCGACCGTCCGTATCCGGTGGTGAGTGTCCACTGCTATGCTATGAGTGCGGTTTGTGTTCCCGGTTCCCGGTTCTGCCCGTCGCAAGGTTCTGTGAATTCTGTCTGTGGGCGTCAGATGGAGGTCGGTCGCAATCAGAAATGACTCGCGAGTGCAGGGGGCTCAGGAGGCGTTCCCTCTTTCGGCCCGAATGATGACAGAATGGCAAAAGAAGGGGCCGGCCTTGTCCACGAGAACCGATGGGTCTACTGTAACCCCACAGCAGATGCACAGGCATCAGGCATCAGGCATCGGCACGTTATCTCGGAGGTCCTCCGATGCCGAGAACAGACTGGGACTCCGGTTTCACAAGATCACCGAAAGTCCCGGTGATCCCTTTAGCCCGCGGATGTTTGATCCGGAAAACGTGGTTCACGAATCATGCCGATGAGTTCACACTGGGTGAAATTGGATCTCTTTAATTCATGATGAGTGTGTCCACTTTACAAGCGAATCCTTGCTTCACCACCGTTCCCTACTGTCTTCACCCGCCTAATCTGGAAAGGATCAGAATTCCAACGACAGAGAAACAGAGGCTTGCGAAGACTGCCACACATATCATGAAAGCGAAGGCCTGGTTCGGCAGCTTCCAAACTTCTTGCAGTTTCTTCAAACCTCTGTCGATTGCCGGGGCCAGTGCAGCAGCTCCGGCCACTCGAAAAGGTCTTGTCACGTTGTTACCGCCCCACATGAGAACAACCACCTACAAAGCATCCATCGCTGCGGTTAGAAAAAGCCATGTTCCTAGAACCACCCGCATTCAAAGATCTAACTTGAGCAACCTGAAGAGAGCAGTGACAGAATATCAGGAGAACAGGCATGCATGTGCGATTCCCTACTCCCAGAAGAGCCTTCAAATTCGCGGCAGGGTTTTGTCCAGTGCTCTTCTCGTAGCCAAGGAACGCCAGAACAAAAAATGTAGTGTAAGTGATGCCATCAAATAGCCCGTACGCTAAAACGGCGGCGAGTCCCCATTTGGCGGCTTTAGCTCTGAGTTCTGCGGCATTTCTCTGCAAAAATACATCGAAATCACACATGAGTTCCGTACATGACCTCAATCGACGCATCTTCTCTTAATCGCAATCTTTCTGTGGCTCCACGAAAAACTCCGTACTGATGGGATCCCTCATGCTTCCCGGGTGGTAGGTCGCCCTGTCTGAACTTCACCTGCAATCACTGACTAACTTCGCTTTCAAAATCTCATGACACTGCCATCCGAAGTAAAACTCGTGCACATAGCGTAAGCGCGACAGTATCTGTTCTTGTTGAAGAGTTTCCAGATATTCATTCACTATCAACATCAAACTTCCAACTGCATGATTTCCATCACAGCTTGGATAAATTATGCAGTTAATAGTTGCCGAAAGCCACAGACACTACTGCCGATGACGTAAACCTGGAGATATGAGTAGCATCTGCCTACGTGAGTTGTACATCGCTACCATCCACACAAAACTGAAACGCACCCGCCATTTTCCAACGAAGGATTGATCACGATTTTCCTGCAGCAAAAGACGACGGAAGCAAAATGCTCAGCCCGACGCTAACAGAGAATTAGAAAGTGACCGCAATTCGTGCGTTTCACGATACAATAAAGTTCTATGATCTATGAGACACAACAGTCACGTTTGAAACGAGCACACCCGAAACCGGTCGATAGTAAGAACTATATTCAATTTACAATTCAAGGGATGCGACCCAGATCCAGAGGCATGCTTATATGGCTTATTCGAAGGTCGACTTACTTCAGATTCCAAAGTATAACAAAATAGAGTTTAGAGCCGAGCCATGTACAGACACAACATGTTGAGATAAGTGTTCCAGCTCCAGCTATAATTCCAATAGAAGTGCAGAGTTAGTGATCGCAATCCACCTCGGCATGGGCGGCATTCTCTTCTGGCACTGGCTCAGGGAGAGAAACATCCCCCGCAACACACAGCGGCAAACGGAATCTTTCAATAGCACGGGGCCTGCTGACAATATGCGTCAACTTGGAAGCATTCTTCCCGTTTCGTGACCATGCCCTGATATCCTCATTCCTGAGTCGCAGCAGAGGCAATCTAGACGAAGATGGTGCGAACGAGGGTCGAGTCACGGAGCGCAAGCATTGCAATGTCGCCAAAGACATCGTTGAGCCGTTCACTCAGTTCCTGAATCAAAGCCATGAATTTTAAGATGGAAGATTATCCTCGAAAATTGATGAATAGTCTGCTCATCTTCACCGAAATTCCATATAAAACCGAGCTGAGAGCTGCAAACTGAACCGGCTACGTCTATAGTGGTAGCGACATAAGCCCAAAGAGAGCCATAACAGGACCCCAGCTCGTCTTTCAAATTATAGAATTTGCCGATTGCAAAGGAATAACAGTTATCCAGCATGACTCTACAAGAAAGACAGCCTTCATCTCCTACAAAAAAGCACACGGGATTGCATTCGTGACAATCTTCATAGAAACGAAATACAACCAGTCACTCCAACCCTAAAGGCTGTCACGGGAGAGTAAGCATACCTGTTGAATGGTACCACTGTGTCCTGTGTCCTTCCAGCAGGTTAAAAATCAGACTGTTCAGTAATATCACGGGGACTCTGCTCCCCACTCTCGAACATGGAGGATGCAACACAATTCACATACAGATTAAAGCCCGGTTCTGTCCCAAACTCGCTCCCACCTACCGTCTCCAACTCGCCAATCTTCCTCGCCTACTTTGGCTTTTATGACCACCGAATACAGATAATCGATTGACGGTCTTCTTCACGATATTCCCTCTTCACTGGCGTGCTCTTGATCCCAAATTACACGATGTGCTTAATGTCGGGTACTCCATGAAACCAGCAAACCACCGAACAGTCTACTCGAGCTTTCGCGTTGCCTTCAATTCAGTTTGCTGGGAATCAATGTTGAATTGTCACCGGACTTTGAAATGTCTTCCCGACGGGAGTTCCAAACCAGAGCAACGTGAGAAAAGTGAAGCCGCTTAAAATTTCGGATCTATGAAAATTTGTGTGCGAAGTAATTGTTTTGTAAATGTAGCAATTGAGATTTGTTCATCCTTTGAGAAAGAATCATTCTATAGGAAATTTGTAAATCGAGCGTACACCGTTCACTTAAGAATCTAATCTAATTCATCCCTTTTCTTCCACATGATATTGTTGGTGTATAGTATCTGTTGGTAAAATGCTATTTACAATTCTTGTATGGAATAGAACAGGGCTTTGACCTTAACATCAGAAAATTTCAGAAAATTGTTTAGCAATATAAAAAATCGATTTGTATAATGTTGATCTTCCAGGTAAATTAGATTGGGAGTTCATATATTAGAAGAATACATTCGAACACATCATGTAAGATGGTTCAATCTAGAAAAAGATCATGTTTTTAAATCCTACATAAGAACAAACCTTTATTTATTCAATTACAACAAAATTGAAAATAATCTTTTTCTGTATCATCAACTCTCGGTATAAAGCACATATTTTCGTATATAACAATTATCCATCATATTATTTTTTTTTACAAATGTTGGTAACAAGATTTTGATAATGATATCAACATAGACCACACACAAGGAGTAAAAAAACAAGCAATTTTTCAGCATGTGCCAGGACTTCAGTCTTTGGTTTATCTCACTAGAGATGAAAAACTAATATATGAAGATTTGAAGATTTAGATAAAGTTTGTAGTGTGAGAGAGTAATGGCCTAGTTTGTTTCAGCACCAATACTCTACATGAAAATATTTGATAATCAAATCATTATTTCGTTAGTATGTTGTATCAAAGCTAAGATCAATACAAGAACGTGTGTTATCTTTTTAATTTTATATTAGTTTAAATATACGAAATAGTTGACAAATAAAAAAAAATATCAGAAGTGTCACAACAATGTTCAAGAAAACATTAAAAAACATCGAAGAACACACAACATTACGCGCAGATTCGACTCTCAGAATACTTGGTTTATCTATGGTTACATACAGGAAAACATAACAATCTTTTGAAAACTGATACAATGATGTATATGAGCTAGATCTCGGTGTTTTAAATAGAACAAAACATACTTACTGAACCCAAGTTATTATGATCATCAAACGGCTAGATTCATTCCTAACAATCTACTCTTTAATTCATGTCGTGGAGACAATATCTCCATAAGATATATATTTATTTTTTCAGAAATTCTAGAATAAAATCTTCTAGAGTCTAAACTTTGAACTAGAGATAACTAGAACTATGTCATATACAAAACATAATATTGTAAAAGTATATAGAGGTAACAAAAATTACTAGTAAAATCTATTTGTGTTTCTCGTGACAATCTTGCATAGTAGCACAATATATTCTAAAATTATCCAAAGAAAAAACGTTGATCAATTGAAAATACTAAATTTATCATTAATCTTGACTATCTGATGAATAAGTGTTTCATTCAGTTATCAATCAGATGATTTGTAACAAGATGTAACAGAATTTAACTATCACAATAAAGATTGACAACTTCTTGTTTGGATTTCTAAATGATAAACCTATTGAACTAAATAGTTTACTTTCTTGGTTATGTTGCCTTTACATATTTAGCTTCACTATGCAGAACAACAAAACACTATAAACAGTTGTATTTTTTCACTTCTAGATTAAGTATCACTACTGGAGTTACTACACGCCAAATTTCTATTCAAAGCCTTAACGTAGGGATTTGTGTGATGCTCATTAAGACAGAAGAGAATATGTTTTACCAATATGTTATTCTAAGAGTGGAAGTAAGTGACTACTCGGCGCTCTTGTCTTAGAACTGTCCACACTATTTTCTATGAACCCCAACCAACTTTCTATGTCCCATCTTGTGCTCGGTTATGGTAATTGGTCAAAAGCTCTAGGTTCAAATACACTTTCTGCCATTTTCATGAATGTGTTTAGAAGTAGAAATTTATGATATTTTGAAAGGGATTTGTGTAAAACGCAACGGATGTACAGGAAAGAGGCGATTTTGTTAATTCTACAGCATGAAAAGGTCTACTAAACAGGTAGTACTCTCCTAGTTAATATTACTAGTTACTAATCAAATCTTTTTTACTTGAAATGAGTGTCAGCATCCGTTGTAGTCTAGTTGGTTAGGATACTCGGCTCTCACCCGAGCGACCCGGGTTCAAGTCCCGGCAACGGAATTGTGTAGGATGCTCTACCTCAAACAGGCTATCAATTTTGCTGTGCGAATCTTCATTGTTGATCTTCTCTTCGTGCAGTCTTGACGCCTGGACCAATCTTCTGGATCCTCGGGATACGAACAGTCGAGGTACGAATCCAAGCTGCGGATGCACGGAGAAAACCCATTCTCTCACACGAGAAAGAGAATTCGCTTCCAATCTGCGAAGGAGTTGATAAAAGCTTAGGGTTGAATCCTTCTCATGAGTACAGTAACAAAACGAAAAGAAGCAACTCACACTAAACGAAAGCTAATTGTCGCGAGCAAAGAATCCCGAGACGTAAGTACCATACGATAGTGCAGCCTCAAACAGCTCGTAGCATTTTCGCGGATATCAAAGTAAAAGTCCACCTCTATGACAGGAAGTCGTGCAGCAGAGTCCAAGTAACCCGGGTGGTACCTTACGCTTGAGAATCCAGCTGAAGATACACTCGATCGAGCATGATAGGCTTGCCCAAAAGCTTGGCTTTGATGGGCGTCACCACATGGTTAACGGGAGCTTCGATCTCCCACTTAGGGCCATGCACGCTCTAGCACTTGTGGACCTTCTCCTGCTCGTAGTCGATGATGTCCGAGGCTTGGTTGACCAGGGTAACGGTGTGGAGGGGGCCGAAGTAGGACATGTGCTGGCGGGGTTCACATTTGATTTCACGAGCTAGGGTGAGGCTGCTGGAGAGGGCAATGACCATAGCCAAGGCGGCCGTCAATGCCAGATATCTGCAGGCCCACGGTTTTTGGGGCCAATGAGTGGAATCTCATGAAATACGTTCAAAGAGGCAAACGCTCATCGAACTCCAGAAAAGGTCGAAGCTTGATGGCAACTGTGGTCGATACAATTGTGTAAGCTTAAATTCAGAATGATTTGGATCCGGATTGTTCTTATTTGCATACGGACAAAGAATACATAGAAAATTGTGAACATTTCGAAGGATTGACAGTTTTATGTCGATGACCTCCTCTGATTTTTTGAGAGTAGGAAAGTGATTCAATATCGGAAAAATTTATCTGACGGAGGTCCGATTCAGGCGGCTCAAGATGGGTCTAGAAGGTAAAGAGTCTCACGATGCCCTGTCAGAAACACAGACCTCGCATCTACAATTGGGAAGCTGGGGGCATGTTGACGAAGCACTTGTTGATCCCAGTGATGCGGTTTGGCCGAAGCTGTGGCATCCCACAGTCGATGACCTGCGAGGTGCACGACATGAGCGGTAGCTGAACTTATGTCAGCATGCAAGCACCCATGGAACTCTTCGATATGGGTTAAAAAGTTATGCAACATAAGAAACGAGTTAGATATTGTTAGTCTGTGCGTCTCTCGGTGCGTCGATACGATGGGTCTGTCGATGGCACCTCGTTGCTCCTCCATGAGCTACTGTTGTGCTTTCAGAATTCAACTCGATCATGTTTTCGCTGTCAAAAGATTCGATGAGTTGCAGTCATTGTTATCGTTTTGTGATAGTAATTGACAGGAGGGAGACTTGACTTTCGTTGTAACTATCCGACTTGACTTTCGCTAATCACCGGAAAGGTTTCGAGAGGGCAGCAGATAATTTTATATTCATTTCAACAATTGTTCAAAATTCATCCTCATGCGCACAACTGAACATCTCGTGCGTTCCAGTTCTGATCATGTATTGACAGAACTGGAATAACGATGTCGTAAGGAGATTAGGATAATGCTCTCTTGTCGTTCACTATCAATTCCTCTGCATTGCAATCGAACCACGAAAGAATGAAGACAGAAAGCAACGACAATCAGCCGAGGAAGTTATCTTCGGCTGAACATCTCAATATAATGAAATCTTGCATAAGTACCTGCAGCCAATAAGTCGTTTCCAGTTCCATTGAAGGCAGCTGATGAACTGTTTATGACTGGGATCAGCTATTTCCACTTAATGAAGGTGGGTAGTGATCGTCCGCCTCTGGGCCTTCTGAAACAGTTTAGGGCTCCGCATTCCCCCATAAAGTTGTCGACATCTGTCGCACATCAGCAGTGAGAATTTACCACCACGACCTCCTCTCATCCGGGAGCTCGATTTGCTGACCGGATATTGACAGACTCTCGTTCTCACAATACCTCTGCACGAACGCCAGAATCGAATATCGAATATCGTAGTGCAGCTGACGTGGTGCAGATAGTGGACATTTTGCTCAAGACGAACAAAAGTCCACAGCCGAGCCTTAGAAACGCAGCAGCTCGCTCATGACATTTTCTGAGCGAGCGGTTCACGATTTATCAAGGAACCTGATTACTTATCACGAAAAGAATTTCTCGTCAGGTTTCTGCGGCCCTGGACTGTCATACAAATTCTTCGTAGACATGACAAAAGAAAAGGACAAGGCGCTGTCCAGATGTATTATGCTCGATTGGTAACATATGCCGGATGTCGGTTCACGAGATGATCTTGTTGAATTGCAAGTAAAGGTAGAGATTCTCGTATTATGGTTTGCGAGCAGTTCTGAATACTTTGCATGAAAGGTTTGGATGCCTTCGTACCATTTCGTCTTCCAAGAGAAGCCCGTGGCCTCGTGTCTCCTCATGAATAAATCAGGGCCAGGAAGACATTGAGAATAAGACCATGGTGTGCACTTTCTTTAAAGCGAATCACATGGACACAACAAAAAGTGATTGTTTGACCATTGATCAATCTTGAAATATTCATACGATTATGCACTTCTAGCGCTGTAAGGCATAGTATATAACATGTGTCAAAACTATGCCTGTGAGAAAATTCAAAACTAACAGATAACAAGAATCCTTTTGTTGTTCGTCATTGTGTATTTTGTTTATGAATTTATATATCCTGCACTCAAAGAATCACTAAGCGTATGAATCGCAGATCGCTAGTCACCAAATCTGACAGCAATATAACTGCTCCTCCAAAAACAAATGCGTTCCTTCGTATTGTAATTTCCATTGTTTCTTATCCATTTGGCATACTTTCTATGATTTCTTCCCAAGTATTAATGTTTTCATTTGTGGTTAAATTATTTGATGATTATATTTTTCCTCAGTAGAAGTACAGCATCCGTTGTAGTCTAGTTGGTTAGGATACTCGGCTCTCACCCGAGCGACCCGGGTTCAAGTCCCGGCAACGGAAATGAAGTCTGAGTTCTATGCTTTAATTTTACTCAGGCTGCCTCGGACTCAAAACTCAGCCCTGGTCACAATTGTTCGGCTGTAGTCACAGGTGCACTTCGGTTGGCATCAGTTATGGACTACGCTCTTTTCCAACTCGTTCCCTGCAGCGTGCCAGGCCCAGGGCCAGGGTGGCCTAGTGAACCAGGCTGGTGTAGATGTAAATTCTGCATTTCTCCTCGGCCTTCGGGAACTGAAGCTGAACACTCACTCCGGTTTCGACACTTCAACATTGGTCTATCGACCTTCGAAGATGATCAACTACACGCTGGAGAAGGTCTGCAACATTCTGACGCATGCATGGCCTTCGGTGGGAGGTCAAAGCCACAGCGAACCATTTGGTGAAACCCCCTTACGGACTGGTCCCTCTCGATGCCAAAGTGATCACCAGAGTTGGATATCGACGACACTAATTGTGAAATGCTCAGATTGAAGATGTGGAGGGCCTGGATGGATGCTGCTTTCAAGTCCTCAAGCTTCAGAGGCAGTTCTTTGTGGGACAGTATGACTGAAAGCTGAAAGTCATCGGTAACAGATGCACCTATAGACTGAAGGTGATTTGTCCTTTTTCAGGTGCACGTTACTATGTATATTACTCCCGGATCTACGAGTCCGTTAATCAATGGGAGCGACGACTGCATGATTTGCACTAGCTAGCGGAGTTGGTAAGCATTGGTCAAAGATCTGCCGGCATACACACTAAGACACCGGCCAGGAATCAACAACTACAGCAATTTCTTCGGTAAATGTGGGAATTCAGGGGTTATCAGCCTCGTCTCTGTAGCTACCATCTTGTACATGTCACATTTGTATGCTCAGCTCGTGCAAACCAAAGCAGCCGTTTAAGCACTCCTCACTTGATTCACGTGGCAGGCCCAGAATTCTTCACATAGAAAGTTCGTGCCAAAATCCTATCCATCCTTCCGTACGTCAATAACATGAAGACAAACTATGCACAATGATGTGACGTGAAATGATGCAGTCCCCTGATACGTTTACACTTCCATCTCACAAACTCGACGCTTCAAATGCTCTGAAACTGAGAAGAAGAAGGCGCTTCTTCTCAGATCTTCTGTCTTTAATATGAAAAATAGGTACAGGAAGAAACTCTTAACCAAAAAAAACCTGGACTCTGGTGACAGATGTCTGTTCAGATGTCCTGCTATATATCTTATCAAGCTCCTATAAAGGGATTGCAGTGTTTATTCAAACTCCCTCTGCTAGATGCGTCTGCGTATTACAAGCTTGCGATCAGTGGAGCGCGATGTGGCAGTATTTACATCTTCGAGTGTAGGACCGATCTGTGACGACGGTTTATTGCACGAGCACGTAAATGGCGTAGATGATCCCCGGGAGATAACCGCAAATGGTGAGCAGAAGGCAGATCCAGAATTCGATTTTGCAGCCAAACTTGAGGAATACTCCCAGAGGAGGCAGAATGATGGCCAGAATAATGTCGACGAATGTCATGGCACCCATTTTCTAGCCGCCGGGATCGAAGAAGAACGCAGCTCAAGATCGGACGGCCGAACTCAGAAGTGAAAAAACAGCGATTGCAAGCTTCTCTTCTCTTCTTTTCTCTTCACTCCACTTCACTTCACTTCGCTTCACTTCTGCTCTGACCCGTCTGTGCTCTCCGCCCAGCTCCTCGGATTATATACGTGCTGTGCCGATCCTGACATCCCTGTTCGTCCTGCCCACGACGTGCCCGATTGCACTCCGGATCCACGAGAGTTCACTGTCGGCGTGGAGTGACGAGAGGAGCGAGCGAGGTGGCCGGAACAACAATAGCCCGGAGAACTCTGAGGAGTTCCTCTCCACTCTCGCGGACGTCCGCGTCGATCTGATCGGACGGTGGCTGGGTAACATGCGCTGCGACCAAAAAGAGCGAGCGATGTACTCAATGAGGTGGACATTGATGAGAGAGGGTCGCCATCCTAAGCACTGCACTAAACTTGGGATTCTTCGAGCAGACTTGTAGCTGACCTCGGTTGGCTGGATCTGATTCAGGAATGTCCGTCGCGAATTTAGCGTTGGAGTGACTGTGTCGATTGACATATCCAATTGGTCGCCTTCTTTTCTTGGGGTGGTATCGCTGGCAGTAGTCACTCGTGCCAGCCACTGGGTTCCCTCCGTCACTTCTCGACGTACCGGTTTTACCGGTATACAATCATAATAAATACTTTCATTGGGCTTTCCTCTCGGAAAATATAGTCGCATTGAATCAAACTCATTCGGTCCCCAATGAACGTAATCACAGTAGATGGAACTCCCAATGCGTTCAACAGATCGCAGAACGTGAAGAAAGTGAGCAGAAAGAAGAACAACCTGTAATTTGTGGAGAGTACTAGTAACATTGTTCATCCAATTCTTTTATACCAAACCATGCTTAATGTTCACACGTGACAACGTTACCTTAAGTATACTTTTCAATTTCAATGTAAAATGTTGTTTATACTTATCTATCTCCAAAAGTTGCAGGTTCATTTTAGTATTATTATCATGCAAATTTAGAGAGTGGTTAGTTATAACTCACGTTAGATTAATTATATCTCACCTTAAATGCTCCCATGCGGTGCAATATTTTTCTCCTATATGCCATGTTCGGGTATTGCATGGTATCGATCAATTACATAACTCTTCATAGTAATATGAGGGATAATTAACTAATTAATAATCTGAGTGGTAACTAGCCGTTATTTTATATTATTTATTCTAATATATGATGATAAATTGTTATTTATCATTAAGAATATGCTGAATATTATCATATAATTTTATCTAGTTTCCTTTATGAAGGGGAAAAACAAATATTTTTTGCAAAAGTAACATAAAGAATTACATGCAAAATCCAACGAAACAAGAGTGTGTAAGCAAAGAATCATCTACAATATATATGAAAATGACTGATAACTAATAATAAAATAGCACAATATTTTCATAGTATATTTCTATTTTTTTGCAGCTAGATATTCAATCCACGTCATTAAAAAATTGATTTTCAATAATGTTGATTGGATTGAAATTGATGAAATATTTTATCAATTTTTTATGTGAAAATTAATAATAACTTCATGGTGTGAACTAAAACTGATATTCATCTAATTATGGACAAGGTAAGCACATACATGTCTAACATAAGGAATATGCATGGGAAAGTTAAGAAGTAGATTTTCAAATATTATCAAGGATTATGTTAATTTTTTGGATAATTGATTAAAAAGTGCCAAATACTTATTAGACTAGGTTGATGCTTACTATGGACAAATTGAAAACAAAACATCTATAATTCAAAATATGGTTACTCCTGATGATGAATGAGTAGGTGAAAATCTACTTTGAGGAAGCACATAAACATATTTAAGAACTAAAGCTCAATATGTAATTGTAGCGGAAGTGAACTACTTGGTTGAATAAACTTATCGCTAAATGAGATTACAACAAAATATTTTAACAGTCAGAATGCACTACATATTGCTACAAAAGACCTATGAGCTATTTAGTTGAATAGCATTATCACTAAAATGAGATGATAACGAAAGATTGTAATAGTCAGAATGCATTACATATATAATATCTTCCATAATAACATAATGCATAACATAGAAGTGATGTATTTCAGTGTGATCAACACTCTTTAAAACCTTAGAAATTTTTCTGAATTGAATAATCATCTGGCATCAAAACTACTCAACTTAAATTTAAGTGTCCAAACAATTTGAAGTTTAATGTGAAAAGTGACTTAAAGTTGTTTTTTCGTATATACTCGAAATGAACATATATTTTCAGGAACTTACAGGATAAAGTTGGAAAGATCAAGGTGAAAAAATTCGTCTAGAGACTTTTGGAGAGAAGAAAGCCCAAACCCTTCGCTTACATTCACTGAATATGTTTAGCAAACATGAAATTTCGACCTGGCTGTATCTCGGCTTGGGGAATCTCCTCAACTTCCTTCCACCAGTTCTTATGTTTAGCAAACATGGAATTTCGACCTGGCTGTATCTCGGCTTGGTGAATCGCCTCAACTCCCTTCCACCAGTTCTTTTGTTTGTGTGAACGAGAGGACGTTGGTGGCAAAACATTGGACAACAAATCTGAATTGAAGACATTGGCTTTGTCGAGGCTCGAGTTGGAGACTCTCAGTGTGTTACACTGACGTGATAACCAACTACACCGTAAAACCAGGCGACAAAATCTTTTGCGTTAAAGGTTTTATATATAAATTTTGGCTCCAGCACGGGGACAAGCGTCGCAGTTACATGAGATCCAGTAGGGTAAAAACTTTGAGTGATCTTTGGAAGACAAGGTATCTTTCGAAGTGAAGGCTGAATATACTCTGGAACGCACAGGTCCTGAATTTGGGAGACGTGCTTGACCGAGTTTGAGGAGTAGCAGATGCGAGCCTGAAATCTGAGGCAAACGAACGATCATGATCAATCGACGACGTAGAATAAGTATACGTGGAGTCTCGTTAGAAGCATGTGTATCCTCAAATTGTATTTCCTATTTTATGGCATAAACTCCGTCTTCATAAATCGATAATTCTCGGCTACGAAGTTTCATAACTGTACAGACGTTGGTGTTACAGAACTCAGTCAAATAGTTCAGTATTCAGTTTTTGACTCTGTAATGTCAATGACATTCCAAATCGGAGTTTATAATATACCCCATTGAGATGAAGAACTAGACTTGGATATACTATATGCAAGCCTAGACATTGTTCAAATTTATTCAAGTTAGGTGAACTCTTATATCAGTGCAAGTTGATCCATTTCAGAATAGTTGATATAATACTTGTAATCTAGTGTAAGTCAATCTATTTGCATACATCTAAGTTTTATTACTGCACCCGTAGTTAGGAGTTGTGTGGAAGCATGGGTATAGAGACTATGTAGATATATATGCCTGAAATAATAGAATTCAAATTCGGTTAATGATGTGAACTATGAGAAGTTAAGAGAGTGATTTGGAACCTGGAGAATTTACAACACAAAGTAAATTGGACTTAAGTTTCAATATTGGATCATTTTAAGCTTATGATCCAATCTTAATTATTGGGCAAAAGAATAAATAATCTGACAAATCCAATTGAAACTTTTTTAAGACTATGAGTAATCGGAACTTTGTATGCGTAAATCGGTCAACTTGTTTACTGAATCTAACTTTCTACAAAGTTGCAAAATACCATCCACTGGCTCACGAGTAGACTCAAAGCTTCGAAAATATAATATTGTAGGTTGTGAATAATATTTGTCAAATTAAGTTGTGCTTTGAGCTTCATCATCTTATTATTGATAAGAGACAGAGCAGCGCAAGCATATGGTTTAGATTATTCCACTATATCAATATGATAATCAACAGAATTTTGGGAAAGTAAGCTAGGTGATGTTTCAGATATAACACACATGCAATTTTTTTTGATAAAATTTAAATGTCTAGGTATACTATTTTTACTCATATCTTAAGGATTGTGACAAGAGAGTTATGTAAATAGCCTATATTTGAAAACTTCCTCTTGTGGTTTTCAAGTAAATCAAACAAGCTCCATGAATAACACAATCTATGTATTTTTCTTCTAAGCTTTTTGAACAAAAAGTTTTGAACGATTATGATGCCATGCCATAAGAAGTTTAAACTGTTCGTTATAACAAAATGAAGAAAAAATATTATATCCTCATATTCATTATGTATATGTGACGTCAAGATGATAAAAATTGGGAGCATGATTTCTATAGCGATGATATAAAATGAAACCTTGGATATGAAGATGCATGATTCAAACTTTACTCCGTTCATCCTACAATTATATGGTGCAAATTTCACTTAAAAGAGTATCTTCACAACCTGGAATAGTGACTCAAACACATAAACTATAGTATGAGTATAGAAATCCACATTTATTCAATCCTTGGAGATTCACGAGAATTGTTGGCAAGTAGTTGAGCACATAAGAATAGATTTGGAGAAAGAGCACAAGCATGATTACACTATCATATGTGTTGATTCTGCTTATTTAATTGTTTTGTATGAAGATCTAACATGAATGTGTTGTCTTGCATTTTTAAGTGATATATTCTTGAGATGACTCAATTCACCCTAATTGTAATATGTAACTTGATTCTTCTCACGTCTTGAAAACCTTAATTTTGCAACAATCCAAATACTCTCAAAGTCTTCAACAACCTCTTATGTTACACTATCCTGCTTATTTGCAAATCCTTCATCACATAGAATTGTTTTCCCATCTTCTCTTTGATGGATGATAGTACCTCTAACCGATTAACTCCATTCTTTACAAGTTCGTTCATCTTTTTGGTCATCATAAAGTGTCACTCGCGCAAACTCTACATACAAAGCTCGCTCATACATAAAGTCAAAGTTTCCATTTAATGTAACTTCTACTTTTTCCATTTGTGGCCATGGTTACCTTCCTTCTTTGAAATGAAATTGCTCTACTATATGATTAAATCTTTTTACAT